TGAAAAATTGATTAATTACTTAAAAATGTTTATGCTTCAATAAAAAGTTGTACTATATTTGGTTTCCAAGGATTACATATATTCAGGAAATGATAAATTAAACACATGCATACATTCCTAAGGAAACAGAAAATATATATAATGGAGATCATTGTTTTCTTTCTATGATTTGATATTGCATAAGTATGAAGTGATAATTAAATTTTTCTTACAGCTAAATTTCCACATTAAAAATTGTTAATCTTCTATAAAATTAAGTGCTTAATATTAAAAACACTTATGAATTATTCCCTAAAAAAAAGAAAATTATTTGCTGACGATAATGTGTACGGTAATATCTTTGCTTAAGCCAATATGTTCTGCATGGGAAACCTCACTTTTTATGCTGTGATGATGTACAGTGAATGAATGTAAAATAAATAAATGCTTAAAAATGAAAAAAAAGGTATGTACAAATGTTACACACCATGACTCCCTGTCCATTTTCCTCTCCTCATTTATTTTAGACAGGATCTCATCTGTCGCCGTCTTCTCGGCTCAGGTTCCCTAGTAGTTGGGACTATTGATGCATTTCCATGCCCAGACTTTAGGGTGGTCCAGGAATCGAACCAAGGCCTCTCACGTGACCTCAGCATATCAAGTCTCAGCTAGCACACACACATCCACGGTTGAGCCTGTTAGTCTGATTAAATCTTGCAAGGCTGTGTGAGAAAGCCTGTTTACTTGATGATGAACAGAAATCTTCTAACACACCGATTTGTATACACACATGCACACTCAAAAACACACAGGTCCATTTACCTTGAGAGGAATCAAGTGTGACCAACAGACCTGATTCAACTTTCTTGTAACTACCCAGGTTCAAAGCTTCTGAGATCTGCTGGTGGTGCCTACTGACAGGTGCAAAGGACGGTGGTTCAGGACGAGGATGCAGAAGTTTCCTCTAGGACAAGACCATGGCAGGGGCATTGACATACTAAAACTATGCACTGCAGGGAGTAAACCTGATGTCAGACTGCTCCCTCCCCCAGGAACAGGCAGCTGTATCAAATCCCTGGTTCTTCTTCCCACCATATTTGGCTCAATCTGCTTCAGTTCTGGGTGTCTAGGGGCTGCTGGCTTCTCTCCTGGAGGGAGCCTGATCTCAGCTGCCACAGGGGGGCGCTCCAGCAATGGGTGGACAGAGCAGGAGGGGCTCCTCCCCCAGGCTCCAGTGCCCACCCCTGCTGGTAAATAGCTTGGTGTTCCCAGGTAGATCCTCAGTGACTTTTCCCTGCTGTGGCCAATCTGGAAGATCAGCTTCAACTCATTGCTTTCTGCCCTACAGATCTCTTCTTTTTGTGGTGAATTTGAGTTTTGAAAGGATATCATCTGGGTCCCTTTTCTAAAGCTAGAGAAGGGAGGATGCAGTGGGTTCTAGTACAACTGGTAATTCTCCTGGCTTCTGGTAAGTATGTTGCATAGAAAGATAATTACTAAGTTTTAGTTTTTTCCAATAGAGAAATATTCTAAGGAATTCCTTAACATTTTTTGTTGTCTTTCCTTCTGTAGTCTGTCAATTATCTTCCATCCTGGAAGGGAGAATGACAATCACAAGGAAGATTGGATCATCCGTTGTAATCAATTGTGACTTACTCCAAGTTCGTGCGGGCTACCTCCACTGGTACCAATTCCAGGAGGGGAAGGCTCCTCAACGCCTTCTTTACCAAAATATACACTCTAGAGAAAAGGCAAAGGTGGATTTGGGGAACATTCAAGGAAAATACCAGGCTTACACAATTGCAGAGAATAGCTATGTACTTAAACTCCAAAGTCTGGGCCAAAGTGACTCTGGTGTGTATTCCTGTGCCATCTGGACCAGCACAGTGATTCAGGCCTGCCTTGTAGTGCACTGAAAATGTTCTTGTGTCAGTTCCTGTACACAAGGTAGACCAGCCTCATCTCACTTCCTGCCCCTGACCTCACTGTATGCTGAACAAATAGAAGCCTGGAGCTCAGCGCCTAGCCCACCCTCACCAACCCACTCCCTGTTAACTGCTGGGTCCTCCCCCTACCAACACCAGGACTTTTATTAATTGGAGCTGGCAGGACCAGCTGATGGCCTAATGTTATGTTGCTGGACTCCCATGTAGTCCAGTGCCATTGGACTTCCAGACTTGGTGACTTTAAACTCAAGCTGGGTATATGTGTGTCCAAAATCCCAAGAGGAGATTGGCAAAGAATAGATTGCAGTGTGGCTGTCCTCTCTGGGGGGTAATTTCTTATGCACTGTCTCTCTGTCTCTGTCTCTCTGTCAAGCATACGTGCCCTATAGCAAAAGTATCTGAAAAAATAAAACAAAAAAAAAGAAAAAAAATGGAACTGCCATATCTAGGCATTAGTCAAGTAGCCTGACTGGCAGCATGGTTCTCTTTGAGCTCTGTTAGGGGTTGATGAAGAGCTATCAACTTGAATTCCAAGACAGAGATGGTCTCCAGCATTTGATATATTACTGGATACCTTAGGAGAGCATTTTGGTGAGAGAACACATATTGGATATTTTTTTCAACATGTTTCCAATGATCATGGCTAGTAGTGAATAATTATTCATTCTTTAAGAGTATGGGAAATGATGGAGTGAACCTTCGAACTTCATGAAGACCTTGTTCTAGCTATCTGATTGCTGTGGACTTTCACATTCGTTGACCCCTCACTGACAAACTCATCCAGAGCAATTTCAGTCCTGCAGGCCCCATTCACGATGTGCCCTCTAAGGCTGTGCCATTTTGGTTTTTTTTTTTTCCATTTTTAGTTTTTTTATAGGGTGGGTACTCATAAGAGAAACAGAAAGTGCCAGAGAGAAAGAGAAAGTGAAACATCACTCCCCATGGTGGATGGCCACACCACAATCTATTCTGTTTTCCTCTTGGGACTTTAGGCATAAACACACTTTTTAAATGTCCTTAAAGTTATTAAATGATTAAGTAAGCACTGAAACTTCCGATTTTTAATTGATTTGTACTTTGCAGATATTGAAGATTGTTTATCTCAAATGAATATTGTAAGGATTCAATTCAGTAAATTAAACATCCAATTTACCTACCACAATCGCTGACACTTGGTAAGTGAAAGAAATACTAATTCCTCTTCCAGAACTTAGATAACCACCTATTTGAGGTCATGATCTCTGAAGTACAGATTAGAATATCAATCACAGTTTGTATCTCACTTGAGGAAAAATGGTCAGTGTTTACAAATGCTTTCTATTTCTAAGACTATTACCAGCTTCTTAAAAAGAATTAAAAGGGACCAGCAGTTAGCGTAATGGCTATGTCGCTGGACTCCCATGTGGTCGACTGCGGTTCGCGTCCCGGACCCAGTGGCTTAAACTCACGCCAGGCACGTGTGCGTGCGTGCCCAAGATCCCAAGAGGAGAATGGAGGAGAAGGGATTGCGGGGTGGCCATCCCTCCTGGGGGGTGATTTCTCGCTTTCTGTCTTTCCGTCTCTCTCTGTCTGTCTGGCAAGCACACACGCCCTATGGCAAAAATCTCTCCAAAAAAAAGAAAAAAGGAAAAAATATTTATCACACATTATCTAAAATATCTTTTGCTTGTATATAAGGTAATCCCTCATTTTCAGTGGAATATAAAAGTATTTTTAAAAGAAGTTTTTTCAATTTAAATAATAAATTTATCAAGCTATAGATAAAATTATCAAATGCCTACTTATGTAAATATTTAATTACTTAATCAAGTGTACCTGAAAAATTTTAAAAGCAATGACATAGTATAGCAGACAAACTATCAATTATTTAAATTATTTCTAAAATCTATTTGAGAAGACCTAAAATAAAAGAATTCCTTACAGTCAGATCATTGAGTAAAATAGTTCAAAGACTCTAAGAAAAGAAGATAAAAGAACTGTGATGCCTACCAAGAAGAACAGGGTGAAACTTTATATTGGAAGGGAGGAGGAGAAAGTAGTAGAGTACAAACTTTGCATTAAGTGATAAAATGAAAGACTCCAGATTCTCAAATGTGATGTGTTTTTCACTGTAAAATTAGAAAACATGCTCATGTGTATCCCCCTGCAACGATGCGGAGGACATTCTAGCCTTTAATGCCATGCACACATGGGGACCCGGAGCAGAAGACAGGCAGATGATAGTGATCCATGATGACAGGAGGAAGGTGGATTTGGTGTCCAGATTTCTGGCCCTTTCTCCAGCCATTCTGCCTCAAAGGACCAAGGCAGGAATTTGACATGAACTGAAATTCCTGGGGACAGCGTGGAGTCAAATGTGTTGTGCCTTTGATTTGGGTAAGAGCCATCTGTTTTGGACAACACTTTTACATAGTTTGGAAATTACCTCATATATTTACTGCACTCTCTAGGCTTTCGCCAAGATTTCGTTTGATTTACTTAACACTTGAAATACTGCAGAGCAGACAGGAGAAATAATTATCTATTGAAGATTGGATATGTGATGGGTACATTGATTCCTGTGGTGCCTTTGAAAATTCCAGGCATGTTTGTGCAAAAATAAAATCCAAATGGAAGAACTGAGAAATAACTCTTCTCGCTTAATTGACATAGGTCTAATTCCAACTCCATAATGCTACATTTCCATTCTTAAATAGAAGGTTTGACTTTCAAATCTCTTGTTAGAGCACATAAGTAAAGCAAACAAATTGCTAGTAATAGTAAAGATGATGATGATAATACAAATCTCATATTTTTCTATATCATTTGAAATTGAATTTTTTTTACATATGTTGCTTCATTTTGGTCTAATTTCAGTGCTGGTAGTGATGTTACATTCAGTTACTCTGTAATTGTTAAAACACCAACAACTTCTGAGTTATTTGATTTGCCCATCCACTGAACTTGTTCTGAGCAAAATGAACCAGGGCTACTATCCTGGCCTCCTAGCAATGTCAGATGATCTTTTGTCCTATATAGAACTTGAAGAGCTCAGGGAAACAAGACTAGTCTAAAGTTTTTGTTAGGGGTTGAATCACTGTGGAAAATTACTATACGAAACACTTCAGTAGAGGAACAAAACTCATTGTCACAGGTGGGTATGAGAAAAATACAGTTTTTCAAATATGATGAAAGATTAGAAATGATAAATTTGCAAGACTAATAAGATTTTAGAAAAGAGAGGAATGTAGTAAGAATTTGATAGAGAAATCTGAGGAGATTTGAAATCAAATGCTTTTTCTGAAGAAGCACATTGTGTGAATATTGTTACAGGGTTTGGCTCTGTGTACAAGTGGACTTCATTGCTCTTGTGTAATGTATATAATTATACAAGTAAAGTGTTCAGCCCAGGACAGAGTTTATTACAACAATTAACTGTTGTGATGGACTCACTAGGGTGGACTCTCCTTTTCTAATGGCCCAAGGGTCTTGTGAAAACACCTTGCTTTGGTGTTGGGGCGACCTGGAGCTCTGTCTTCACCATTTCTGTTTTGGGGAGCTTGAGTCATTATTGTCTAGCTTCAGTTTCCCATGCAATAAAATATAATAATAGTAAATACCCATCATGATTGTATGAGAACTGAACCACACAGTGTGAGCAAAATACTGTACTTGAAATAAATGCCCCTTAAGCTCAATTCATTTGCTAAGGGAATCGTATCTATTGTGGAGAGTTGTCTGCAGCCAGTATCATCTATAGAGACTAAATCACCTGATGACTCAGCTGTGCTTCAACTGCTCAAATGGAACGTTACTTTAACATTTACTCACACCCCAAAAATGGAATCTTCAGATAGTGGTCTCTCAGTAGTGGCCTTTTCCATGACTTGACAAGCAAAATGACATTTTGATGTATTTTTTTAAATGTATTGTTGTCCTATATGCTTTAAATCTTAGTCCTTTATCTTCATTGATATTATCTCTAAAAGAGGTATTTATTGGCCCTAAATTTTATGGTCAGTAAGTTTAGGCTTTATGTTTCTATTCATCAGAAAAAACTTGAAATCATATAGAAAATTGCTGAGCTATAAACTCAATTAAAGTGTTAGAAACTTTTCATAAATCTGAAACATATATTGAAAAATATACTTTGCATAATTACTGATTTGATAAAATAAAAAAGACAATAAATATAGAGAATACAAATTAATAAAATACATAGATTTAGAATATCATACTTTTGAGGGAAAATATACCTCCTCTTTGGTAAAATTATATAGAATTCACACTGCTGAATCATTTTTAAAATTTATTTTATTTTAATTTTCTATTTATGTATAATCATTATACATCTTTATAGGATATGGCATCTTTTTTTGATGCATGTATATGATGGGTTATAAACAGATAGAGGATATAAACATATTCACCATCTTCAACATACAACATTACATTATGTTATGCACATTTGAAATTTAATACAAAATACTTCTATTTTGGAAGTGTATATATAGAATTTTCAATTATACTCTGAATTGTGAAATACAGTTCTAAAGAAAATCAAAGTGATTAATAATCAGACAAAAAATGTCTGATAAATTAAAGATGATACAGTTTTGGAAAAAAGTTAATCTTAACAGAGCCAATACAAAATAATTTGTAATTGCCATTAGGGGATTGTGAGAGAGAAGAGTTTATAATCTGAAAAGATTGTGGTATCAATCATTGATCCAGTTAGAAACAGGTAAAATTGTTCATAACAATAATTTGGAAGGTATAAAAAAAGAAAACATTTACTCACTGTATGTTCTTGTAAGATTACAGACACTTTCACTTACAAAACTCATTTGCTTTTTATTTTTTATTTTTTTTAAATCATATTTATGGCTTACTGGAAAATATAATAGTGTGACAGTCATGCTTAATGCTTTTGCTAAGTCAAGGGAGAAAAATGGATAGGAGTGTCATAGAGGTATGAAAAAATTTAACAGTTCCAACAACTTTAGCCTTACTGAGAAACTAAATATGCATTATATACTTCTGTAATAAGCTTGCTTTCATCCATTATAGTGATAATCACGTAGTTCATTCAAAAAACTGCTATTGATTTTTACTACTCAAGACTGAATTCAAAGTTGAACATGTTTGCTCAACAAATTAATGAAAATGTAAATATTATATTCCAGAGTATTTAGTCTACATATGTCCTTGTCAATGAGGTGTGTCTCTTGGAAGGAAAATGTAGAGTCTCCAGTTTTTTACCTATTGAGTCAATCTGTGCCTTTTAAATGAGGGATTTAATTCATTAACATTCAATGTTATTTATATGTGTGCACTTATGTTTTAATTTTGTTCCCCTTTTTTCTTTCTTCTACATGTTTTGTATTCTCTTCTATTTATCTTCCTTGAGTTTTCCTGGGATAGTATTCCCTTAAGTATTTCTAGAGAGCTGGTCTAGTTCTGGTAAATTCTTTCAGCATCTGTTTATTTGAGGAGAATGTTATTTTTCTTTTTCATTTGAAGGATAATCTTGTAAGGTATACTACTCTTGCCTGAAATTGTTTTTCTTTCAGAGTTTTAAATATTGTCTTCCCATTCTTTCCTTCTCTGCATTGTTTCAGTTGAGAGGTCTGATGTCCGTCTAATGGGGTAAACTTTATAAGTAACTTGACATTACTCTCTTGTCATTTTTAGAATATTATGTTTGTCTTTGACTTTTACCAATTTAGCTCTGGTATGCCTTGGGTAGAAACCTCTTATGCTAAGTCTATTTGGTGTCTTTTATTTCCTGTATTTAAATGTCTGTATGTCTATCTAAATTTGGAGAATTTTCTACTAAAATGTCACAAAAGATTTTCTATGCCTTTACCTGTCTCTTCACTTTCTGGAATACCTAACATGCAATGGTCATTTAATGGTGTCCAGGATTTCCCATATATTGGCCTATTGTTATTGGCTGTTCTTCTTTTTAGTTGCTTGAACTTAATCAGAGGTTTTGTCTTAATGGTCAAAGATTCTTCTAATATGCTGTGGATACTTTTGAGGAGGTTTTAATTTTCTGTGTTACATTCCTTATCTCCAGAAGTTATATTTGTTTCTTTTTCACTATGTAATTCCTTCTTCAAGTCATGGAAGACCTTTCTCATCTCCTAGAATTGGTTTGTCTGTTTTCTGTTGCATCTCATTGAGAATTTTACAATGAATATTTCGAATTCTTTTAATGACATTCTGTGATCTCTTGTGTTTAATCCATTGTTGGTGAGTAGTTATAATATTCCCTTAGGTGAATTATTTCCTAGTTTTCTCCTATTTCTTGAAGTTCTGCTCTGATTTTCAGTCATCTGGTAATATTATCAACTCTCCCTACTTCTCTGGAGTATGTTTCTGTAGCTATGTGCCCGAGCCCTTCCCTGTGGTGTGAGTGAGCTTTGAGCCAGTTTCCCTCTTCTGCTGTGGGTGGGAGTGTGGAATCCACAGTGGGAGTTTAAGTTCATAGTGGTGTTTCGCCTATTGCTGAGAGGTTTTCGAACTCTCTCTACTTCTCTGGAGTATGTTTCTGTAGCTATGTGCCCGAGCCCTTCCCTGTGGTGTGAGTGAGCTCTGTGCCAGTTTCCCTTCTCTACTGTGGGTGGGAGTGTGGAATCCATAGTGGGAGTTTAAGTTCAGATTTTCATAGTGATGTTTCTCCTATTGCTGAGAGGTTTTCAGGGAGAGCATTCCTCCAGTACCTCACTGTCTTTGGGTGTTTGGGCCCTGTATACCTAATCCTCTCTATTCCCATGTGACTAGGGCTGAGCTACACAGGTAGAACCTGAGGTGGTAGTGCCACTCGTCACATGGGCTGGAGCAGCCCCTTCTCCTACACCCAAGTATGGCAGGGATCTTTGGTGATCTGCTCAGGATGGGCAGCCTCTACTTCCTTGTTGCTCCTTCTATCTCTGGGACTGCAGAGATAGAAGGGTGGTGTCTGGGTGGGGTCCTTGAAGACCCGAGCAGCCCTTCCTCAACCACTGCATGCTGGGTGGGGGTCGCTGGTGATTGGGTGAGGCCTGGCAGCCCTTGCCTCCCTGTTGGATCCTCCACTTCTGGAACTTTAGGAACCAGGTGGTAGTCTTTGAAGATTGAAGCAGCCCCTCCTCCCTTACTACAGGCTGGGAAGGGGTCATCAGTGACCAGCTCAGGCTGGGCAGCCTTTTCTTCCCTGTTACTCCTTCTATTTCTCCATACTGTTGAGTTTGATATAAGCAACTAAGGCAATTTTCCTAAACGATATCATTTGTGATGTAGTTTAGCATATATAAATGGATAGACTTATTCATTTTTACTACAGTTGCTATTTAGGCATCATGAAAATGATTTTGACTATAAAAACATTTCTTAAGTACATTTAGAAAATAATATTCAATGAAAAAACATGGCATACAATGATCCATGATATAGGTACTGCCCACACATAGTCAGCTGTTTAATGCCTAGTTAGCTACCACATTGAGAAGGTTGTGGAAAGTCAGTATTAGTTTTATCCTGAAAGAATGAAACTTTTAAAAAAAAATGTAGCTAAAGAAAAGGGAAAGCGGTAATAAAGGGTGTCGTTTTCCAGATTCAGCATTTTGACCTTCTGTTTCTCTAGTTTAATAAATCAAACTATTCCTATTCAGAAACAAAAGGTTCTAAGATAAAAATTAAATTATTTATTTCACTGACTAGAGGCTCCAATTATGTAAATATGATGTACAACTGAAAATTAATCTTGTTTCAAATAACGTGATTTTAAAATTAAAAACAAAATGTGTGGTTAAAAATATATACATAGATAGATAGATAGATTGTTGTCTTATTATTATCATGAATAGTGTACTATTTATTCTAAAAGAGAGATATATGAAATTAGAATAAGCACAATATTACCTAGAGAATATTGATATCATAATTTTTAAAACTCAGGTTATTTGCTAAATAATTCAGCATAAAAAAATGGGAGCTTTGCTACATAGACAGAAATTCTCAAGAATTGTTTTCCTTTTTGTCCTAAAATGAGAAATAAATTTTTCTTGTCTTAAAAAATTAACTGTTGAAGTATTAATAAACCACCAACTAGTCCCCAAGATTAGTAGTGAAATGTTGAGTTTTGTCTTTAAATTGCTTTGGGAAGAGTTTTAACATTTAACATTTGAATCATTTGATTAACAATGTTTACAGTCAATTAAGTTTCCAGTATTCAAGTGACATGACTTTGCAAACATACGATATTTTATATTTGATGTTATACCTGCCAGAAATTCTCGTAATAACTTTTGACCCTGTACTAATTACATATGCATCTATCATAGCAGGCTGAAATAAAGAAAATAGTGGCGCTCCCAAACAGATCAGTGTCATGTACAGTAGATACAAATCTGAAATAGTCACTGAGAGTAAAATGAATTTTTTTTTTTTTTGGAGAGATTTTCGCTATAGGGCGCGTGCACTCACCAGACAGACAGAGAGAGACATAGAGACAGAAAGTGAGAAATCACACCCCAGGGGGGATGGTCACGCCACAGTCCCCTCTCCTCCATTCTTCTCTCGGGATCTTGGGCACGCACGCACACGTGCCCGGCGTGAGTTCTAAGCCACCCGGTCCGGGACGCGAACCACGGTCGACTATGTGGGAGTCCAGCGACATAGCCATTACGCTAACTGCTGGTTCTCTAAATGTTGTATAAAATTACAAAATAAAATGTGCTTTTGGTGAATTTTTAAAAAAACAAATACAATTTTTATAAGTACATCACTTGATAAGATTACCATGAACATTTCTAAAAATAATAGACAGTCAATTCCCCCTAGATTTAAGGCTCTGTAAATAATTTGGAAGTACAACTTTAAAACACTGCCCCAACAAAAACCTGAGATGGTTCAGCTGTGGAATTGAGATGACACAGAATGTTAGAAACCAACCGGGAGAACTTTTTAAACTTCAGAACTGGCTCTGGGAATACACATTTGAAGCTAAAAGCTCACCTGGATAGAGCCCAAGTAGATTCCCATCAAAACAAGTGATTAGATGTCCATTGAAACAAGTGTATGTATATTGTTCTTTAAAAAAAAGAAAAAAGAAAACTCCCCTCTGACATTTATTTATATGAGATGTAAAAAAATATATGTTACATTCCAAGGTCAGTTAAATGGAGAATGTGAATTCACAGAGCTGTAAAACATGAGAATTTGAATTATTTAGTCAAAGGGAGCATGAACAGGATTCAGTTAAGTGCAGCACCAAAGAAACAATCCCACATGGCCAACCAGGGTTTGAGTCTCAGACATGGAAGCTTGAAAATTGCACTGAGCCCAGGATTCTGATGGGATGGAGAAGTGGAGGGTAAATGTTTGCAGAGCATGACCAGGTCCCATTGCTGGGTGGTTTCTCTCTCTCTCTCTCTCTCCTCTCTCCCTTTTTCTCTCTTATGTTTAAGTCCATCACAGCATGTGGAGAATGCATGAAGATCAGGTTCTAAGCTAGACTCTGCCACTTCTTAGCTGTGATTTTGGTAAGTTCCTTAATCTTGAAATTTCTTTTCACATTTTTAAAATAATGACAATAAAGACTATCTTGCAATGCATGGTGGGCGAGAGCCCTTGGTAGGAGCTCATTCGAGCTTTCCTTCCCACCACCATGCATAGGGTGTGCCAACCCACGCAATGTCTGCGATTCTCTATTCTTGTTAATCCCTATTCCATTTTCCCACAGACAGAACCTTGAATACAGACCTCTCCCCCAAGCCCACCATGTTTCTTCCTTCAGTTGCTGAAACGAACCTCCATGATGCTGGAACGCATCTTTGTCTTCTTGAGAAATTTTTCCCTGATGAGATTTATGTACATTGGAAAGAAAAGAATGGCAAAACGATCCTGGAATCCCAGCAGGGAAAAACCATGAAGATCAATGACACATACATGAAATTTAGCTGGCTGACTGTGAGCGGAAATTCCCTGAATAAAGAACACCAGTGCATCGTCAAACATGAGAACAATAAAGGAGGTGTCGACCAAGAGATTCTCTTTCCTCCAATAAGGAAAGGTAAGTGGATGCCGTTATTAACTTACTAATATTTCATTTATCTTTTAATGAATAAAGTCAGTAGAAGGAGAAGACCAAATTACTTCAGACATGTACAAGTCAGTTTTTGAGGTTATTTCAAAACAAATACATTATTATATTAACATTTTTTCCCCTGGAGATTAACCCCACAACCTACATCTCAAATGATTTCCAAGCACATATGATAAAAAGATCTTGATTAAGTGAAATTGCATCCTAGACCCATACTCATATGGCTAAGAATTCATCTAGAAGGGAAAAGATAATCCAAAACAAGCATTGTGATTCTTTTCCTTCCTCCAACAATTAACTTTTTTCAAGTTTGTACTTTTCCCCAGGATTTACAGTAATATATTTGGTGAATTGTAAATGTGATTATGGCGTGTCTTTGTATTTCAAGAAAGAATTACATAGAAATGCTCAGCCCCTATAAAAATAATCCAATTGGCTCTGAATGATTACAATTTCCAGGCGACACTGCTCTTGTGTTTACATTGATGGAGATATGCTTTATCCCCATGAATTATTTTCGCTCAAGTCTACAGATTATTTTCATAAAAAACTTGCCACAAGTCCTATATTTTTCAGTCCTTCACAATTGCACAACTATCCTTTGAATACTGACTCTGCCACTTCTGGTATGATTCTTGGCAAGTTACTTCCTCTCTAGTTCCCATTTCTTCATTTATAACACGGGCTCCAATCACACATGCAATATGCGAAGCATGTCTGCGGTTTCTGGCGCAGTACTGGTCACTCTGTCAGTGTTAGCTTTGTCCATATTGTTGCCATTATGTCACAAACACATGCCCTGGGGAACTCAGGTGCATGAAGGGGACCCTGGGGAGATGTGCAATATGGAAAATTATGGCTGCTTCCTTTACTTAGATGAGAGACTTCCTGAATCCCGTCTCCTTCAAACATGTCAGCTCATGCTGTGGATTTAGGATGGGATGAATTCACTGTGGTACCTTGTGTACCGTACTCAGTGTCTGCAGTGTGTGCAGAAGACTACACAGCAACTGCTCTGTCCATTTCTCCATGGCTCAGTATTGATGGAACACCTGCATTGGCAGGCACTGTTCTGATAGCTGTGGATGTCTCAGGAAAACCAGGGGTTCTGGGGCCTGTATCTTCACGTGCAGACAAATAGTATATAAATTAGATCTTCTGAATTACATACAATCAGACCAATTATTTCAAAATTTGGGGGCTCATATTTTTAACGGATGCCTCTTGTATGTCTTGTTACCACTGGTTATGGCTTTTTACCCCTGGTGGATTATACACAAAGACACACGCTGTCAAATAATGTGAACACGTAATTGACAAGTACTCATGTTCATTTCTTTCAGCTGTCGTGGCTATTGATCCAACAGAAGTTCCTTTAACAGGTCAGAGTGGTAATTTTTTGTGTATATTTGCCCTTATGCCATGCTATTGATAAATATTTTTTCTCCTGTTCAATTTAACCTTGAACTTCTTTGACGTAAAGGAAAGAAGAACAATTATTCTTGGAATTATGTGTCTTACATTTTTAATGTTTTCACTAACTTTTTAAAATATATTTTTATTTCATTTTCTTTTATACATTCAATCATGTTATTTAGCTTACAAAGTGAATATTTCAACA